CTCTAAATCAGCATATTTAAGTGGGATTTTGAACTCAGTTCTGCATTAGATTTCCAAATAAAATTGGTAAAATTTTACCATTTCATTCAGATGCAATTCTACAAAACCAAATATGTTATATAAAGTCGTTTTAATTGGTTAACCTGCCCAGTATGCCTAAAACCGAAATAGAAACAATATCCGAAAGAACAATATTAAGCAGACTATGGCTTGCTACCTAAAGGCTTAATTTGTCATATGTACCCCGGCATTGAATTCATTTCATCCACAAAGGCTGACCGGAGATGGAGATGAAAAAGTAGACAAAATGACAACTGAAAGGAGCGATGGACCGGAGTGAAAGAGGCTCAGCCGACTGACTAAATGCTTAAATACCTAAAACACCGAACGGAAACAGGAACAACACGCACCGGCAAACAGAGAATGGAAAACAATTTGCTGGCAACGTTTTTGGGCTCATTTTGGCAGGCCCACATCTTCATCTTTAGCTCCCAGTTCTGAGCTCCAGCTTCAGCTTCATCTCCACTTTCTCCTCCATCTCCATCTCCTTCGAAAAACCCTTTTACTCATTCCATGCCAATTCCATTCTCTGTTGTTTGCTGTATTTGTTGTGACAGTGGCCCGAATCAAAACCGAAACAGGTTGATGGATTACAACCAAAAGGCGGTAGCTTTACCAGTTCTCCTCCTTCTGCAGCCATTGTGGGTGTGGCTATTGGGGCGGTGGAAAAGCAGTGGCAGCTGCACGATTAGGCTTTTGTTTGGCTATATGTCGAATTTCTATAGCCACACCCAATCCAATCCTAGCCAGCCTTTGTATCTGCGGCCAAAGTGATTTGTGTGCCCTTGGGGTATCGGCAAGTACGTTTAATGAAGTGAAGGGTTAAATTTGCCAGGGTCTTTCGACCAGGCACAGAAGAAAATGCCAAGTGGAAGCGGCTTAGACACACACAAACACACAAAGACCTTGCCCCTAGCAAAGGGAATCAAGGCGGAAAATCTCATTCCATTCGGCCAGCTCAAATGGAGAAAGTGTTGGCTTCTTAAAGTGGTTTGTCAAAATTTTAAAGAAAGAAATCGTTCAGAAATGACAAGATGACTTCTTCACATTATTATAACAAATTGTTTCCTAAAATTTCTTCTTATTAATTTATATATTTTTAAGGTAAATATTTCCATTTCTATTTACCACTGAACTATGTTAAAGTACCTCTCAAAAAACAAAATAAAATACATTTAAAGTGTAATATTTTTAGTTTTAAATATTAAAATCATTTAACAGTTTGGGGTACATATTTTTGTGACTTACACTTTCCAATTACCCTATAGATGACTTTGAACGACCTTCACACACACACACACTCAGTCGCTGGCACACACTTGCATTTTGGTTGATGGGCAACAAAATCATTTATCATAACCAACGGCAGCAGAGCGCTTTTCTCTCAAGTGGCGTATGTGATTGCGGCGAAAGGCAGGCCAAAATCGTGGCCATTCCTGGCCAAAATCCATCCAACACCGCCGACCAACGGTCATATAGCCATAAATCTGCGGACTGGGCAAAAGTTGCGGATATGCGAAACGGCAAACGGCAATGGCAACCATTTGTCTAATTTTAATGGGCATGCTAATAGAGCCATATTGCTGGTCAGACGACGGACACCTGACCCTGACCCCGTGCAGCTCGATCCCGATGCCGTTGGGAGGCATCAGGGCTCAGGTTTTTTGCCAGTCAACTTTTAATTTATGTGTGCGGCCAAAAGTTTTTGGCTCATTAAATACCTCAAAACGAAAATGGTAAATGACTTACGAGCTTGGCCCCAACATGAAGACGTCGCTGCTCCAGACGATTGACTTGGGCCCCGGAACGAACGTGCCCCATTCCCATTTCAGTTGCCATCTCCTGCATCATTTGCTGAATTGCCGCTACGTGCCGCATTATCGGCTACAAAAAATCTCGGCCAGACGACTTTTCAACTGGCTGCCGCCGTTGCTGCTATTGATGAGGTCGATTTAAAGGTTGAGGAAATTGCCAAGACGCTCGACCATATTTGCCCTGGGCTGTTTTAATGAGACCACGGTTTGTTTGGGTTTTCTCCTATCCGCCGCCTATCTGGGGTCAGTTTCCGTTGCCTGACTGCATCATTTGTTAATGTTCTTCCCCAGACATTTTTCATCCCAAAAGAGGGCAATTCAATATTATTGTTATTTATCTGTTTAAAAACGTTGAAGAGATAAGATACTCCGTGAAGGCGAAAATATGTATTAAGTTCTGCGTGTTTTTCCTGACAATATTTATTATTCGAATAACATTTTATATTTATGCAATTCAAGCAAATTGCAGGCAATAATTTATAAATTTCAGGAATTCAAATCTATTTAAAACATTCTTGATTTATGCAAGAAACTTATAAAAAGCTAAATACGTCTTTAGTATTTTATAATAAATCATTGAGTTTCATCTTTAAACTTTCAAGAAGCCATCGATACCTAGTTGAAATCCTTTATTAATCTTCTACAACTTCCATTAAACGCAACCTTTTTCCTAAGTGCATGCAATCTTAAGACGAATGATAGTGTTTAATCTCAGCAATTAATTTCCAGACTAATGAAATAATAATTGTTATATTTCCAGAAAGCTCGTTGGGTTGCGGCAACAATAAATATTTATCCTGCGCCCGCATGCACATATGGAATTAGCTAACACACTGCCACGCCCCTTTTTCGACTGGCATTTTAATTTAATTTTCACACCTGAACGCACAGCAGAACCCCATATAAAGTGGTTGTAGTGGCGTTTATTTAGCAACGCAAAAAGACCTCTGGCGCCGCATAGCAGCAAGGAGCAACAGGACTTTCTCTTGTATACATATATACATATGCTCACGGCAAATTTAATTTTAAAAAGCAAACCCGGAAATACATATATGTACGCTGAACCTCAATCAGCGGGAAATGGCCACAAACACAGCGGGGTAAAGTTGCATTTTTCCGACCCACCCAGCTTTTTCAAACCCAACCTCCCACCAAACCTCACTTAACACACCTGCCGAGGCACGGGCTCTATGTCTAATTGTATGTGCTTTTGTGGCCAAAACTATGAGGATGCTGTTGATGTTGTGTTGTGTTTTTGCTGTTGTTGCACCTCTTGTTGCAGCATTGTTGTTGCTGCTGTTGCTGTTGCACCTACTCACTGGCCGGCAACAAAGTTGTGTGTTTTATTAGTTTCTTCTGGAGCTGCTGCGTTCACCGCCGATTGTTGTGCTGTAAATTGCATTTGTGGTCAACAAAAAGCATTTGCCAGCCAGGTCAGGCCTTAGCTTTATTTTGTTGACCAGGTCTTTAGAATGTAATTTTTTGTATTTTCAGCTTGGCTACTTCATTTAAATTGCCATTAGGTGCGGCTTCTGGCGTCTCATCCTTTAATTTAGGAAATGCCACAGCATTACGGTTGCCATTAGCCAATGCAGCAAAACACGTAAGCGGCAACACTTACATATGTATGAGCAAGCAGATAGTCGCAACATTTCCGCTTGTGTTTGTTTGTTTGTTAGGTTGCCTGCCCTTCCCTTTGGGGTTTTCTTTCTTTCTGTGAGCGATTTTCGTGCTACATTTTTCTAGGATTTTCCCACATCTGTTTTTTTGTTTTTTTGGTTTTTTTACCCAGCTTTGCTCTAAATATTCAACACTTTCTCGCCCGCCTTCGTTTTGTCCTCTCAGGTTGCTCACTTTGGTTTTACTTTTTGCCTGCTTCTGTTTTTGTCGGGCCAGCAGCTCGGGAGGTTTGTTTTTAATTAAAACAACAATGCACTGCCAGAGCCACACTTCCGTCCGGCATCTAACCCGCTTTTCACCAGCCAACAGCCACCACCCACTACATGCGAGCACATATTATTTCCCACTCACCCGGTGACTGACTGACTTGTTGCTGTTGTTCCTCCTGCAACTGCTGCATGTTGCTGTTGTGTTTTACTTTTGCGCTTACAATTTCATTTGGCCCGCTTTTCCTGCCAACCCTCCTTCCTCTCACCACTCCCAGCCCCTTTGGCCATAGCTCTTTGTTTTGGCCTTTGCTTGTGTGTTTTGTGTGAAAAGTGATAAGTGAAATATGCTTTTTCAGCTGCATTTTCAATTTAGTCGTTCAATGCAATTCCAATTGGATATTGCCAATGGCCAAGTTACAAGCCAACTCGCCCCTTCAGTTAAGGGATAAGGTAAATCGAAATAAAAAAAGAGAAACGGATGCCCTCTGCTCTGAAATGTTTAAAATTGATCCGTTCAGACAGAACTCGTTTAATTGAGACTGAAATAAAATGAATTCCAGCTGCATTGTGCGGCAAGAGCCTTCATGACATGACATCAGCATAAAGAGGGATTGCACCAATCATTATTACACCGAAAAAACAATTCAGACTAAAATCTAGAGGTGAGTTAAAGATATCTTCTTAAATCTTTAATCAAGCGCTGGTTTTGATAGATTTTAAGTAACTAAAAACCATTTAAAGGAGTAATACATTAATATGCAATCTCTAGAAATTTGAAATCGCACCAAGATCTATTATTAAAAGAAACCCTAAAGTTGATTTCCCTTCTGTATTCATGTTCACAAGCCATTTAACATATGTGGGTGGGATTGGCTCTGTCCTCATCCAATTCCTCTTAACACCTGAAAGTTCGCTGAACTTGTTGACTAATTTCGAATGCAGCTCGCGACAAGAGTCTACGTGGCCAACACCTGACAGCCACGTGACACTATCTTGCCGACTGCCCCCTTTTGGCAGAATAATGGCATTGTGGGCGTGGCACACAAGCACAAAAAGCTCCATTGTCCTAGCCAAGGACTTGAATCTGGTGGAAGGTCTGCAAGTTGTTGTAAAAAAGTGCATTAGTAGGGATCATAATCTTAGGAAGTGGTCATTTACTGCACCTTAAATTCTGAGTTCCCTTGGGTTAAACGGAGCATGCCATCTACGATGACAAGTCAACTACCAAGTAAGCTGTGTCATTTCGGAACCCCGACATGTAGTTGTGGCAATTTTAGGACTCAGTTAAGTATAACCCTAGTCTGGAAAAGAAACTAGAAAAAATTGTTTAAATTATTGTTGAAAGTAGAAAAGCTAAACTAAATAAAAAGCGAAAATGGTGTTCAAGAAGTTGCTGTTCGTGTGCATGGGTAAGAACTCATAATTTGCTTTTAAGTTATTAGAATACCTCCATGGAAATATATGGGACCCGCAGGCAACTCATGCAGTTCTCCCATGGCCGAGGTGATTATGCAGAATCTAATGGTCAAGACGAGCCTCTATTGGGAGGTGGATAGTGCCGGGCTGAGGACATGGAACATTGGACGCAGGCCACACAAACGGTGTCTGCAAATACTACGCGAACACGGACTGCGATCCGATCACTTTTGTCGACAGGTCAGCTGATATTTAAGTAATTTATCAATTTACTCAATATATTGATTTTTTCACAGTTCACTGCGAATGATTTTCGGTACTTTGATTACATTGTTGCCATGGATGAGGCTGTCTATAGAGAACTTTTATTCTGGGACAGGGAGAACCGTGGTGGGGACTGTGAAGTTCTACTTCTGAGTTCGTTTGGCAAAAATGGTCTACCATCTTATATAGACAGCCTGTCACCGGTAAGTCAGAACATAGTCCTACAAATTTCAAACCAATTCTTAACCCTTATTTAGACTCAGAAGCTTAAGAATTTCCGGTCGGCCTATTACCGTATAAAGGAGTGCTGCAAGCACCTCATCCTCAGCCAAAAGGTGGACATTGTGAAATATGAATTGCCCAGCACTGAGGATGAAGACTTCTACTACGCCAACAAAGAGAAGGAATCGCTGGGTGGAGCTGAAAAGGATTACTCTCCAATAGAGGAAAATAGCAAGCACAGCGGTATGTTTCTTCTGCCCATGGATATCAGATCCTCTGGCGGACTGACCTCGGCGACCGACCCATCCTGCACGAATGCATCGATGAACCACTGCACGCAGGGCCCACAACGAAAATTATGCCAGAAGTGTGGACAAAAATTTCTGGCAGCTCTTTAAGCTTGAGGGTTCCGAACTGTAACCAAATCATAAACACGTTTAAATCTTGCCCAATAACTATGTTGCGTATGAAAATGTTTGTCGGTGGCAAAAATTAAACTGACTTTTATCTGGCACCTGTCCACTGTCTATTAGCTTTTCCTACCTTTTTCGTGATGAGCGGCTAATTGGCTTAGAAACCATCTATAAAGGTCTGAAAATTCGGCCTCTTGGCTCAGATCTAGTTCGATGAGCATTCGTTTGGTCGAAGGGGTTGCGGGTAGCTGAGCATGGAGCGCACTCATTCTCCAGAGACGCCATTGGCCTTGGCCCTTTCCGGGCCCACGTTTCAGGCCCAGTCGAGCGGTAATGGTTCCGTGCTGGACAATGTGAGTTAAAGGGGGAGAGGTCCTACTGATGAAGAGTGACTTGAGTTTTGTAAAAAGCTAGAAAAAATATTCATCAAACTCTCATGAGGCAAAGCTAATATTAATAATTTTTTCTCAATTATAATATATTTTACGTTGAAATTAAAATAAAACCATCCACCTAAATATTCTTTGATTTCTGCTTATGGTAAATCCTCGAACTCCTCATAGGTGCTGCCCGACATGGCGCACCTGGTAAACCCCTACTGGAGCCGCTTTGCCCCGATGGACCCCATGATGAGCAAGATCCTGGGAGTGTTCACCCTGGCCATACTAATCATCTCGTGCTGTGGCAATGGAGTGGTGGTTTACATCTTTGGTGGAACGAAGTCGCTGCGCACGCCGGCAAATTTACTCGTTCTCAATCTGGCCTTCTCCGATTTCTGCATGATGGCCTCCCAGTCGCCGGTGATGATTATCAACTTCTACTACGAGACTTGGGTTCTAGGACCACTGTGGTGCGATATCTATGCGGGGTGCGGATCGCTTTTTGGTTGTGTTTCCATCTGGTCCATGTGCATGATCGCCTTCGATCGGTATAATGTGATTGTAAAGGGGATAAATGGCACACCGATGACCATCAAGACGTCCATAATGAAGATACTCTTTATATGGCTAATGGCTGTTTTCTGGACCGTAATGCCTTTAATTGGGTGGAGCAGCTATGTGCCGGAGGGTAATCTGACTGCCTGCAGCATCGACTATATGACGCGCCTATGGAATCCAAGATCTTACCTCATTACCTATTCCCTATTTGTTTACTACACTCCTTTGTTCCTCATCTGCTACTCCTACTGGTTTATCATTGCGGCCGTTGCAGCCCATGAGAAAGCGATGCGTGAACAGGCCAAGAAGATGAATGTCAAATCACTACGAAGCTCCGAGGACTGCGACAAGAGTGCCGAAGGAAAGCTGGCTAAGGTGGCTTTAACCACTATATCTCTGTGGTTTATGGCCTGGACCCCTTACCTTGTCATCTGCTACTTCGGTCTTTTAAAATAGAAGGGTTAACCCCATTGACAACCATTTGGGGAGCGGCCTTTGCTAAGACAAGCGCTGTCTACAATCCAATAGTGTATGGTATAAGGTGAGTGAAGATACTTATATAAATATATTTAAATATATTTTGGATTGAAATATGTGAGTCTCATATAATTTTGTATCACCCCCAAAGTCATCCCAAGTACCGCTTGGTGCTCAAGGAAAAGGTGATACCATTAAACCCATTCAGATATTTTTCATATTCTTTAACTGTTTCTATTTTACCCTGCAGTGTCCTATGTGTGTGTTTGGTAACACGGATGAGCCAAAACCAGATGCACCTGCTTCCGATACAGAAACCACATCGGAGGCGGATTCAAAAGCTTAATCCGACAGACACACTAGCAATTGCCTAAAAAAGGCACAAAAATGTAAAAAAAAAGTGATATGCAACGTCATAAAGTGATACAAAAATGTAAAAAAAAAATGAATAAACTTAAGCATAACAAAAAAAAAAGAGTTATTTATGAATCGTAACTTGTGGAAAGTAAGGTTTTTTTTTTGGGTTTGTTAGTATATCAAAAAAACGATTAAATTTTGTTTTCTATTTTCTATTTTGCCTATATTACAAGGCAGATTATACAACTAGTTCAAGAAATCCATCCCTTTATGCTGATTGTCATCCTTGGCCTTTAAGAATGCAATTAAATCCAAGGAACTAATTGAACATCTGAATGGAAATTTGCATCCATTTTGCTACTTGCATTCTCATTATTTCCCCGAATCTATGCCAAGGAGGGTTCCAAAATGTCGCGAAATCCTGAATGGCAGATCCCAGAACTGGGGACTCAGCAGGGCCCAACTCTGGCAGATTCATCTTCATTGACACACATTTCCACGCAGCTAATGTCGCTATTTGCTTTGTGAGGGTTTTGTCTCGCGTCTAATGATTATAATTACGAAACAGCAGCCATCCTCCCACCACACATTTGCCTAATGAGCACTAGACTGGCATCCTAGCTCCCCCCAAGCACACCCAACACCCCAAAATTTCAACCAACACAGGATACCCAGAATGAGATGCGAAACTGCACTGTTGGGTCTCGAGTTGACTGTCTAATTAAAGTACAACGGAGGGCAGACGGCACAAAGAAAGCAAACTTGACGCCTGCCAGAGATCGGGCAAGAGCTCCATTATCATCAGTGCCAGATTTTAAGTCTACTTGCTCCGCTAGCAGTCTGCCTATCCTGAATTTCTTTCAGGGCTCTCAGTCTAGCCAAGCTAACATCGATTGCATGATGAATGCAATCCATAAATAGCTCCTTCTGTTCCTCACGGAAGAATTCCTGAATGCAAACCACTGTCTCCTTGTATGCATTCTTAACAACACTTCGAGACGTTACCTTTGAGCTACTTATCGAAGCTTTTCTAAAGAAATCGTTTATCGCCTTATCCACTGATCCAGCTTCTTCGGAAGCTATGTAGATTATATTTACATCCGTAAAGTTCATATTCTCAGCAACTATTTTCGTTATTTCTCCCCATTGAGGACTTGGTGCTGCCCATATCGTGAGAAAAAATATTAGCAAAATAAATCCAAAAGATGTTGACAGCCAACTCATTGTACACTAAATGTTTAAAAATCAATTTTGAAAAATTTCTTCCCATATAGCTATTTCTAACTTTTATTTCAATCAATCAATTGCTGAAAAAAAATGTTTTTGAACTGATTCAAAGTTCAAAAACATACAAATATAATCTTACAATTCAGAGAAATTCTGAAACAAAAAAACCAAACCAAAAATATACAACATAACTTAATAGTTAACACTTGAAAAAAATGGAAATGAGATTTTACAACTTTTGTTTTTTAATTAAGAACTGCATATTTCCAATTTGTCAAAACAAGCCAACACGCGATGCTCCAGAGGTGGCTCCATAGTGTGCCCAGGTCTCGTCAGCCAAGCTATCCAAAGAAACATAAAAGGCACCAAACACGACTTTCACACAAATCCTATGAACATCGACCTTTCTACTAGATCTTAGCTCATTGTCACAATGGGATAGAGCCATTTTTAAGGTATCTAGTTGATCTCTGGCATCATCCAAAGCATCAGCAGTATTTGGTAGCTTTTTCATGACAACAGATTCAGCAATCTTGAATTGTGCATCGGTCCAAGCCAATGAATCCTCTATGCCAGCATTTTGTCCAATCGATTTTCCGGTCTGAAGGGAAATTATATTTAATTTTAATAGCATTTTTTATTATATTCAATTGCTATATTAAGTTACCAAAACAACTAAGACACACAAGGCAATCAGTGATAAACTCGACATTTTCTGGAAGCTTTCAGTGACCAACTGAGGCCCAGTTCGTAAGAATCTTAAAACATCCAGCTTTATCTTCTGTTTGCGCTTTGATAGAGTTTATCTCGTTTATCTCTCTATCTATCTAAGTGTAACACAACACGATAACCTCAACCCCATTATGTTTTATGCTGGGTCTATAACCCTATATTTCATGGCTTAATTTTATCAGCAGCCAGCGGAAGTGGCACTTAGAGATCAAATAACAGTAGCAAGTGCTAAAAACAAACAGCAAATAAACACCATCCAATAAATGAGTGATTCATTCATTATTCGATTTAGACTTTGCTCGAGAACGGATTTACCATTTCACTAATTTTTGTGACCCACAATATCGGTGGCCAACAAACGAACTAACGAACTTTGACACAGGCCAAAGCCGCAGAAATTTTGTTGCCTACTTTGGGAGCACACAACTTTTGCATCAAAACAAAAACCGCAAACCCAAAACAAATTTACATACATGCACTTTCGAAAAGGGGAGCGTTTGTCGCACTTTGTTTTTTTTTTTCTCTAACCAATTTCGTCATATATATACATTTAGTTGGGCAGCCCGAATGCGGCTGGATTTCATTCTGTGCATGGAATTACCATTTTTTGCTGCTGCGTGAATTTCAAATGCCACAACTTTTGCATTACCAAAAAAGGAGCTTAAGGGTGGTTCAGTTTGGGGTTTAGTTTGGAGGGTTGGTCGAGGAGTTCGCGGCTAACACTACACGAAACTTTTCAAAGTTTCTGCGGTGGCGTCGGCGGCTGCTCTCTCGTTGTTGTAATGACAACGGCCAACTCAAGTTTCAATCTTGAAATATTTCAATTAAGTGGCTCAAACTTTGCACTCCCCCATCAACCATCCACTGCCATCCTGTAGGAGGGTGTTGTGTATGTTTGAAATTTACATTTAATTACATATTTGAATTTGAATTCAAACTCATCCATTCAGGCTTTGTTCGTGGCTTATCCATCATCATCCGACCAGCCAGCCAGTTGGTCATTTGTGGCCAGTCCTTGGCTCGTTAGGCTAAGCCATTTAATAACCACAGGTCCTGGGCTTGGAATTCGAATTCAAATGCAAATGCCATATCAAATCGAAGCGAATCCGATCGAATCCAATGGAATCAAAAGGGCAGGACGGCCGGCAATTTGGGTGAGGACATTGGATAATTGGGCCTGCATTGGCACATAAATCAACATTGCCGCTGCAACTGAACGCAACTCAAGCGAACTGAACTCCCGACCCTTAGCGAAGGGCCAATTGAGAACCAAATCATGCACTGGAAACAATTTGGCAGCGTCAATTGATAAATGCATAAAAGGGCTGTCATAACCCCTCAAAAAAAGAGGGCCAGGAGCCGGAGGGAACAGGGGAACAAAGCATAACAGCTAAAGCAGAGGAACGTAGTTCAAATATTTGGCCAAAATGCGTCAAGTTCCAGCGATGGACCAGACCGACTCAAGTCTACGTCGCAGTGATGTCGATTTAACCAATTTGAAACTCGTATATGTATATAAATATGGAACTAAGATTAAATACTTTATTTTAAAAAAGAAATATCATTTTAGATCTTATTATAATTTGTAAATCTGGCGAAAAGAGGACCAGGATAAATTCCAAGTCATATATTTTAAAATATTTATATCTATTTCTTTAATTATTTTTTGAATAACTTTTATTCACTCATTTTTTATTTATTTCGAGTTCAAATTGTTTCTAGGTCTTATGTTTAAGGTCTAAGTAATGTCATCACTGATTGCCCAAAGCGTAAGCATCCTTTTTGTCGAGGTCGAACTGGCTGAACTAGGATTTTCCTGATGGTGACGTGAGCAGCCAAGTATTTGCGCCCCGAAAAGCGTCAAGAAGGCAACGCCGAAATTTGTAATTCCCGATGGGAAATTTAATAAAGCAGCGGAATGCAAAGCTCGACCGGCCACATCAAAGCATGTCCTAGGTCAGGACTCTTGGCCACCCTGCCCGTTTTGCCTCTAAGAAGAACCAAAAAGGAATTCCTGCATTAAGCTTATTTAAATTTTATTGCATCTATGTTGGTCGATTGCTAAGCTAAGGAATATTGGATATTAAGGAAGACAGCAGGAAGGCAAGACATGAATCCTAGGCAGAAACTGCTCCAGCAGGGCTTGCGGTGGTGGCGGCAGCCAAACGCGCCTGCCACTCATCATCAATGACCTTGAGCTGGTTCTTGGCGGTGGTCAGAAGGGGCTTCGCACAACGGATCTGCAGCCAGGGAAGGGTGACATTGCTGCAACCATTGATCGACTCCTCGGAATTTGCCACCACTTCTAGGACACGTTCCGACAGATCAGTGGGAAAATTGGGTTGGGACAGCAGACGCTCGGCCTCACGTTGCAGGACTATAGTCTGAAAGAAGGAAGAAATCGATATGCCTCCAAAGGGTACAGATGGAGCAACCGGACCAGCAACTCCAGCAGCAGGTCCTGTGCCGGCACCACCAAAAAGTCCGTTCAGGAAGGGATTAAAGGCAGCCGCATAGGGATTGGCAGCAGCAAAGGGATTTCCGGCAAGGGGATTGCCAGCGGGAGCTCCAGGGGCCTTTAGAGAAAATTATGAAAATCCTGTTATACAATAATCCTCTTAATGCGGGGCAGGGTATATCTCCTCACCTGGGCGCTGATGCAAGCAATGCTGGCCACTAGTAGAAAAATTGCGAATTTCATTTTGTTTTTTTGCTCTGAGTTCGGTTGGTTCTCAGTCGTTATGGTTTCGTTGATACTAATTGCCAAAACCACTGCGGTTCTGGGCTTTTATACGCCATTAAAAACACACCGAGAAGATCTTATCTTTTTTATATCTCAACTATATCTAGCTACTGCGATTGAACTGATTTACATGTTCATTGTTTGTTAGGCAGTAGGCGGTGTTAAGTCCCCTTCGGGGGTTATCTACGTAGATAAAGCAAAACTTTTGTGCAGGAATGTTGGAAAGTTGCTACTTCATGCGACGACGTCACCGGTTTTTACAGTGCCAAAACGATAATCAAGACCTTTCCGCTTTAAAATGTTTAGCTCACATTGGCAAGATTAAATTGATTGTTTTGCTGTGCATATTTTTCTCAAAATTGAATAACAATTTGTAAATCATTCTGAGTTATTAGCTTGTTATCTAAAAATGTTTAGTGTTAGTCATAGCAGACTGGTTTAACGTAGGTTCTGAGTTTCGATAATACAATACTGAATAAGAAACTACAAATAAAATTATTACATTTTTCAAAAAACAAAGAGGCGAGGTAAGTCTGTAAGATATATAATATTTAAATATCGGTATGTTAAGATTGGCGCCAAACTGTTTGATTGCTGTTATCAGTCCTGTCATAACAGAATTTCATAATTCGATAGCATTGGTATAATAAACTGTCTAGTTAACAGTCTGTTATATTTACCGCCTTAATTTCAAAATATTAGTAAAAAAAAATATTTAACACATAAATATTTTCAATGTTTAAATCACCTCACTGTTGATGGTAATTAAATAAATTTTTTTTACGTTAAGAAAATACATGAAACACAGCTAAAAGGTATATCAACAGTAATACATTAAACAATTAACATATTCCTAGAGGTGGGATTGGATTTCTGTTATTTGGTATGGTTGGTATGGTATTTTTAAGTGTATAGTGAAACAGTCACACTGCATGATTCTTTGAACAACACCGATACTATCGAGGAAACCGCCGTTGAAAATTGTTGTACACAGCCAAGATATTGATTTTTGGCAGCCGAGAGGAAAACGCGACCCCAGAGCCCCCGCCCCCTGCGCGCGACTAGTAGTAGTAGTAACGACTCACGGTCCTTCAAACATTACGCAGCCCAAGGTTCTGGAAAAAATCGAAGATTACGAGCAGAGCAAAAGAGGGCAGAACGTGCAGAGCAAGCGAAGCGAGTGAAAGTGCCAGCCAGCAGCACAAGGAAAAGTAGAACTCGAACTCGAACTCGGAATAGAGCTCTCTACGATTTGGGTTCCGATTTGCAGGCTCCATTGAGAAAAAGAAAAAAGAACCCCCCAAAGGTAGCACCCCCAGCGGAGAAGGAGACAAGTGCAGTCCGCGTAAGTCTTCCAAACGTAAACGTTTTAAAAATAGAAACGCTCATCTATCCAGCCAGCTCATTGATGATTTGATGATATTGACATTGAAATTGAAATCGAAATCGAGTCTCGACTAACCCAACCAACCCGTTCACAGCAACTGCGTCGAACCCCCCCAATTCCATTTTAACCAGAGGAAAAACAAGAAGACATCAGCCATGGCTTTCGCCGGACTCAAAAAGCAGATCAACAAGGCCAACCAGTACATGACGGAGAAGATGGGCGGTGCGGAGGGCACCAAACTGGACATGGACTTCATGGAGATGGAGCGTAAAACTGACGTTACGGTTGAATTGGTCGAGGAGCTACAGCTAAAGACTAAGGAGTTCCTGCAACCGAATCCCACAGCTCGGGCCAAAATGGCAGCGGTCAAGGGCATTTCGAAGCTATCCGGACAGGCCAAGTCCAATACGTATCCGCAACCGGAGGGCCTGCTTGCGGAATGCATGCTGACTTATGGGAAGAAGCTCGGCGAGGACAACAGCGTGTTCGCGCAGGCGCTCGTCGAATTCGGCGAAGCGCTGAAACAGATGGCCGACGTCAAGTATTCGCTGGACGACAACATCAAGCAGAACTTTTTGGAGCCACTGCATCATATGCAGACCAAAGACCTCAAGGAGGTAATGCATCATCGCAAGAAGCTGCAGGGCCGGCGGCTGGACTTCGACTGCAAGCGTCGCCGGCAGGCCAAGGACGATGAGATTCGTGGTGCTGAGGACAAGTTCGGTGAATCACTTCAGCTGGCCCAAGTGGGCATGTTCAATTTGCTCGAGAACGATACGGAGCACGTCTCCCAGCTGGTCACCTTTGCCGAGGCACTCTACGATTTTCATTCGCAGTGCGCCGATGTCCTACGCGGCCTGCAGGAGACACTGCAGGAGAAGCGCTCCGAGGCGGAGAGCCGGCCACGCAACGAGTTCGTGCCCAAGACGCTGCTCGATCTGAACTTGGACGGCGGTGGCGGCGGCCTCAACGAAGATGGCACGCCGTCTCACATTAGTTCGAGCGCCTCGCCGTTGCCCTCGCCGATGCGCTCGCCCGCCAAGTCGATGGCCATAACGCCGCAGCGCCAGCAGCAGCCCTGCTGCCAAGCCCTCTATGACTTCGAACCGGAGAATCCTGGCGAGCTGGCCTTCAAGGAGAACGACATTATTACCCTGTTGAATCGCGTGGACGATAATTGGTTTGAGGGCGCGGTGAATGGCCGCACTGGCTACTTCCCGCAGTCCTACGTCCAGGTCCAGGTGCCCCTGCCCAATGGCAATTAAGCTGTTCCTGATATTGATCCTGATCCCGCACTCCCATCCTATAAATCTATCCCATCCTATCAAACTGGCTGAAGACGTACGTAGATCGCAGATTGGAGAACAATAACCTTAATGTTGGTTTCGCCCCCAGAGGCGCAAAATTGGGCAGCCGAAGTAGATGCAGATGCAGCAGCAGCACATGCAAATATATATATAGTTGAATTAGATGAGCGGGTTACTACGATTACGGATATTACGATACGGCTTAGCTAGCAGCACACAGCAGGCTAAATTCATTGGTGGCCATAAAGCAAGCTAACTAAATTTTATGTGCGAAATTATACCAGTTGGCAACACAATAATTAACAAATTAATTACGAGTTAAATTAATGTACGTATTAACTAACTAAATTTACAAGATGTTACGCGCCCAATGCGACTTCCTTGCGTTTTCACTTTTGATTCTCAAACGTCAGCGTTGTTGTTCGTTGCAATTGCGAACTCTTAGTGCTAACTTCACACAATAGATCACGTATTAGAACAGTTGGCCGGTGGCAAAAGCAAGCAAAACACTTTAGCTAATTAACTAAATTAACCCGTACTCTCGAACACCCATGGAAGCGCGCCTTTTTTGTCTTACTTCCTAAGTTTTTTCTTTCCTCAAGCCTACGACTTTTATCCGGTCTCATCGTTGTAATTTAAACCTACCTATGCCAATGCGCTCTCTATGCAAGATCCCCTTATAGGCTAAACGCAACGTATCCTCATCATACGCCCACATATATATTTATTATATACCCAAAATACCTATACCTACTCTACCTACGTATATTTGTGCAAAAACAATACTCCCCACACTCTATTCTAAAATGCATTACGGAATACCGTTCTTGATGTTCGTTGTTCAATGTAAAGAATATTTCAAATTCAAATTCAAATTGAAAGGATGAAACAAGCGAAATTTGTATCCTACTTTTTGCTCCTTTTTATGTGTGTTGTTTTTTTGTTAATTATATACATAACAACTATATATATATATATTAAATGAAATCAAATATATGTATAAATATATTTATTAAGCGTATTATCTACATGTATATTTATTATTATGTATTTATTATAAATTATACTGAGCAGCAACGTAAACAATATAAACAAATATTAAAAACGATGATAAACAGATAAACAGTACTAGCGGCAAAGTAAATGTAACAGAATCCTCCTAAACAATACCAACCAGCATAAAACTAGTTAAACGATTTCCAGAAAACAAATGTTGATAATAATAACTTTAAACGTAAGCAAAATCCAGTCAAGTCAATCGAAGCATAGCAACTCTTACGAACCTACTAACGCGTTTACTAACCGCAACTCTAGATCAAATATTTATATATATTTAAAAAGAGGAAACCCAAAAACAAATTAATAAATCTCGAAACAGCAAACCGATAAAATTATTAAAATAGTCTCATGTTGGCATATAACAGAACGATATGCGAATGCTATATACGTTCAAGCAAGATATACACAAGATATATTTACGTATAAAGCGAAATTGAATTGAAATCCAGGCAACTTGTGTTGATAATAAATTAGTTAAATGCCGAAAAGCAAGAAAAACATTTAAAACATAATTATATTTGAGAACGAAGATGAAACATTTGCCTCGTGGACGGACGGACAGAACGCCAGTGCGAACATTTCCAGAGGGCTCCCATCTGGGGACCCTCAGTATCGCCTGGGACTATCTCTTTCCAAGCACAGACACACACACACCACATTTGTCCCATTTTGACAAGGGCAGAAATTTAAACAATAATTATTGTAATTATGCATTTGTGTGGGCGGTAACTTAAATAATATACATTATAAACCATATACATATAATAATAATTACGCTAAAACTGAAGACCCTAATTTATGCAAACCAAAATTAATAAAATTTAATTTTTAATGTGTCTTTCGTTCAAAGTCATAAATGAAAAAAAAAAACCAAACCAACCAACGTTTACTCTTTGATATTTCCCAGCTGACCTTAAAACGTGCTGCCTGTTGTGTAACACTGACTCGGATGCTGTTTTGTTGCTGGGCAATGGGATAGGTTGTTGGTCGGGGATACGAAGGCGGCGCCACCAATAAACCAGGAAAGCATTGAAATTTTCGATTTTCCACACAGACACATGAGCGGAAAAGCGTGAACCACCCGCCCCCAAAGCAAAGGCAACAGAATCCTCCCCTTCATCATTGAACCCCCAGTGGGCATGACATTGAAACGTGACGTAGCATTCACCCCTTGGATCCCCATCCATCCACCCCAATGTGGCTGAGGTCATGCTGCCAGGACACGAGTGCTTGTCAGTCTGGGCTGATGCAACCATTGAAACTGCCTGGGGGAATTCGTTTCCATTCTTTGCCATTTCTGAGAACTATGTTTGCAAGCATTTGGGTAGTGAAAATCAAGGACAAGACTCCACTTAATTGTTTTTTTTTTTTTCTCAATAGCTAAGTTTTAAAGTTCTAATTTTACAACGACATTAAAGTAAACTATGAAGTAATTCCAAAGAATCTTTTGTTGTTAAAAAAAAAGGAAATTTGTTTACACTTGCTTTGATATTTGTTATTCCGGATCTTTTATTAGCAAACAAATGTTTATTAACAGCTTCAAAGTTTATGTTTAACTCAAAATACTTAAATAGATTGGGATTGAAAAAGCTAAATTATATCAGATACGAAAGAGGTTGAGTTTAATTTGGGGATTTGAATTATAACTTTTAGTAATTTTCTTAGCTAAAATATTTAAACTTGACATATGTTCTATTTATATATTAAATATTAAATTAATTTTTTTTATTGTAACCAAACTGTAAAAAGTACTCCTACTTCGCTGGTCGGAATTGTAAACACTTGGGAGTGAAAAACAGTGAAATTTTTATGTTATCAGCACTTTGAGGTGTTTTTATTGAATGTGCGATAAGACAGCAAACACTATCTAACAAATACTTAATCAGACCTAAGAAATAACCACATACTCCTCATACTGGCTGAGAATCTTTCGCTTGGGCCATTGCAATGCTTCGTGACCCAAAGTTAGACAGGCTGGCTGATCCTTGAAGATGCCCTGTTCCTGAAGAACTGCATGCGGAGCACATCGCCAGGGATCCTTGGTGGCCACCTGCCAATCGAAGAGCTGCTGGCGAAGCTGTTTCAGAGTACCATTGTACTTGGGTTTCTCCGCCAAATTAGATCGTTCCAAGGGATCAACCTTAATGTCGTATAGCTCCCATTCTGGTCTCTGGTAGTATTGTAGTAAAGATCGGTACCACGGCAAGGATTGCTTGTTAATTGTGGCATTCAGTATTTGCTGGAAAGTGGGTGAGGTATAGAAGTCCTGGTCGATAGGAAAGTCTGCCCAGTAGTTGATGTTATGGATAAGCTTATACCGCCTATTCCGCACCATCCTCATAGGATAGGCCATGGTCACCTCATGATAACTGTGGCTCCCAAACACTGCATCGCTCTCCTTAATTGGAGGTTCCTCTCTTAGTACAGGGAGTATGGATTTCCCAACGATCTTTGTATCATTGGGCTTAGGAATCTGAAGAGCATCCAGTACACTTGGGTATATATCCAGAAGACTAACCATGGCTGCGGTGGTTTCGTGGTGGCGATCCTCCTTCTTTGGCGAGCTGACGATCAAAGGAGAGCGAATGCCGTGCTCGTAGAGATTAGTTCTTCCTCCGGGGAATGGTGGTCCGTTATCAGAGGTGTAGATCACTAGAGTCTGATCTGCCAGACCCGCCTCCTCTAGCTCCTTAAGCATCACACCCACTCCCTGATCCAACCTGGAGATGGTCATGTACTGAGCAGCCAGTTCCTGACGTACTACATCCGTATCGGGCAACCAAGCAGGCACTTCCAAATTGCGCCAATCATAGTAGATGGGTTTCCAGTCTGGAATGCTACCCATTCCCTCCTCACCACTTCCCCAACGCTCACAGAATTCTCCAAACTGCGGGGTGATGTGGCCACAACGATGAGGATCATGGAAGCCGACCAGCAGGAAGAATGGTTTCTTTTCATCCTTAGCTTGTTTGAGGAACTGTCTGGCGTACTCCTTCATCCGGGTAATGTTTCTTCCGATCTGGTTAATTGAATGCTGCTCCTCTGTCTGCTCGAAATCAAAACGGAAATTGGAAGCAGCCCCCACATGTTTCTTGCCAATTATGCCGCTCAAGATGCCACCGCCACTTTGGTCACGGATTAAATTGGGTAGTGAGCCGGTCTCTGGCAAGACATTAAAGTTATGAACGCCCTGATGGAGTCCGTACATGCCACTCGAGTGACTAGCCTGCCCAGTGAGCAACTGAGACCGACTGGGGCTGCAACTGCTCACCGAAGTGAAGGCGTTGTTGAACAGCAATCCCCGTTTGGCCAATGCATCCAGATTAGGGGTTTGGCAGAATTTGTTAAGATAAGCGCCCGATTCGAAGCCAGCATCATCAGCCAATAGTAGTAGTACATTCTGCGGACTAGCGGAACATCCTCCAATCACCAAAAGTGGAACTATCCACCGGAGCAACTGCATAACATATATTTTAAGTATTTTTAAACCCAAAAGATATTAGAAGAGCCCCTGGAACAAGGCAATTCTTTGGACGTCGTCACCGTACTGAAGCCCGGCCCAAGAGAGTCCAATACTATATATGTTAGTACCTACAAAGCCTCTCATTTCTCCGTATCAGTTTAAGTCTCATACAATTCCACTGCCCAGTTCCAGTTTTAATCTTCCGCTCACAACAAGAGCTCAGCGGGAGCGCATCTAGATACGTTCACTTCGCCTGACTTTCTTTCACAGCGGTTTGACTACAGTAGCCATACGATACAGAAAACTAAATCAAGAAAATAATTAGTTATTTTTGACACGTTAAAAAAATGTATCTAAAAAGTAATATTAGTAAACCTGTAAACTACTGAAATTTATTTTAAAAACTTGACAACATTTATTTAATTAACTAAAACAAAAGAAGAGCGATTTAATAAAATAAGATTTATTTTTAGAAGAGTTAACTATTAAGAAATTATTTCCTTTATAAATTATGGTTTATGTTTAAACCCTTCTATTAAATCTATTTTTAATTCACAAAAACGCCCTTTGAAATATTTTAAATAAAAAGCTTTAAAAGCTTTTTACGCCATTTTTTTCTAATAGATAAAGAATAATTTTGTATTCCTTATATATTAAATACTAACCACTATTATTAAAATCCATATTGTATTTTGATTTGGTGTGATATGTTACTTGAAGCATTGTAAAGATTTTTGCATGCTTCTGGCCATTAGTTGATCAACACGTTGTGGCTTTTGATTTTATCTTGCTCCACAGACAGGATAAAAACACGTCCAGTGACATTAGTAATAAGCTTAATTTTATATTCCTTATATATTAATTAAAAAAGAACTAATCACTATTATTAAAATCCATATGGTATTTTTGGATATGGTGTACATAATGATGATGTACATATGATTTTATCTTGCCCCACAGACAAGATAACAGCAAGCTCTAGTGTCCCCAGCAGAACCACGTCAGTGTTCCTACACCAATCCCAAAGTGCCATGTTATATGTGTAAACAAAAATGTTTAGATATTCGCATGCAAATATCTGTTTGTATAGGATGTACATTTGTACATACATAAGTAGCTAAATGTTATGTATCCCAAAATGGCGCAAATCGCAATTTATTCCAGCTACAAGAGTGTGTCAGCATTGGGTTAGAACATTATGTAAGTAGACAACCCTCAAAATGATTCACTTGCCGGCTAATTTTAGCCTGATAGTAGCTACGCTTTCAAGCCACCCCTTTTTGTTGGCCTACATTGGTAAGGAAAATTCGCCAGAACATTCGACTTCAAATGTTTAGCAACATTCTGAATTTTCCACAACATGTTGCCAAGAGATTTCCTCTGAAACTGGCAACAAGCCAACAATCAGCTGTTGCAACGTGTGGCAAGTGTTGCATCAGCCAATTTGAACTACAGAGAGAGTTTCACTCTCAGGGAGCGAAAGAGTGCGAGTCTTTAATGTTTCAGTTGTTGTTGCTTTATGGCAAGTCGCCAAACCAGTTGCCCTACACTTTTTGGAACGGACATAGGCGACTTTACTCTTTCCGGCTTCATATCAGACATAATAATACCTCAATACGCGTTTTGTACCAAAAACTTTCCAGTTTATTAACCCTTTCAGATAAAAAACACTTTTGCTAGAATTTACAACCATAAAAAGCCGACTTTTGTAAATTATCCGGACGTGGGGCTAAACTTAATCTATTTTAGCTCCCCTTATCTATATGGTTGCCATTTCGGCGGTGCTTTTTTGATAAGGCTCAGTGTGGCCAAAATGCTATCTATGCCAATTTTATACCGACTGGCGCGAGCCAAAGCACATTTAGATTTATGATTAATCTAGCTTCGATTTTCAATTTTTATATAAAATATTGCATACACCTTTAAATAATAAAATATATTTAATTGAATAATATTAAAAAAAATTTTTTTTTTAATATAATGTTAATAAAATATTAGTTCCGATTTTATGTTTATTTAAAACGCTATGTAAGGTTATTAAAAAGCACAAATATATTTCTATTTTTTTTAACAGAAATTAATTTGTTTAGCTAATTTGTTGATGTCAAAGTCACAAAATAAATTGATTTATACTTTCTACGCATTTGAAAGCTACATTGAACTACTTTCAACCAGTTAAGGATTGACAAACCTAACTAACCTCAAAAGAAGATGATACAAGTTCATGTGGCCCATCCCGAGCATCATAAAAACCAAAGAGATTCGCGTGTGGAAATGTTTTGGGGGCACGGCCATAGTCATAGAAATAGACACAGCAGCTGAGAGCGTTGAATGAGATGGACGGAGGGAAGGGTATATAGACAGAGCGGTGGAGGAGACACGACAACGACGTCAGCAAATATTATATCAACCCCGGACAGCGGCAAGCGTCCAGTGCTCGACAGCTGAGTCAGTTAGTAACAATACTTCGTCGCGAACAGAACAACATTTCAGTGAGTCAAGGCAGATAAAGGCATTCAGTGTGCAAATCAACGTGGATTTTGTGAAATTTTCGATTCGAGCTTTATAACCTCCCAATCTTAATGGCATCATCAGCTGAACATCGTTACAAAGATTTCTTATTCATAGAACAATAATTTATTTTCGTGTAAAGCGTACAAGATAAAACCAACGTACAAAGTTCAAAGTGATAAAGTGAGGTTTGCCAGAAAAACATTTGCGAAAGACGCAATAAATTGGCCAAAAAAGAGAACAAACAATAACAATTTCCATATACTTTACTTAAGTATCTCAGATAAGAGTTATATCTAGATACTATATAGATAAGCGCGTGTGAATTAACACTTGGCAAGTACATTAGGCATACGCCCGATTTAACAAAGTGGTACAGCTCGATAGCAACAGTTGTGTCTGCAAAATAATACTAAATTTAAAAGGCTTTTTTGCCCAAATATTATGTTCGCTCTGTCTGCGGTTGGTGGAATAACAACAGCAACAACAGCAGTGGCGAGGAAAAGCGGAAAATCAAACAACGTGTCGAGCACGAACGTCATGCAACATTCGCCTGTCGTCGTCTTCATGTGTGTGCAACATTCGCAGCAGCAGGTTCCCATGCTCAACAATTTTATGTGTATGCGTATGCGCGGCTGGCATTGTAACAAGTTTTACTGCAACAATACGATTAATATCAATATCCCGACGATCGGCACCGGTACTGGTACTAGCACGGGCACTAAGATCCTAAAGCGCTCCAAGTTGCTACGGAAGAAGCGGGACATCATTCGCCGCCGCTTTAGCATTACTCTTTTTGAAGCAGTTACGATACAGTTAAATTCCGAAACAGAAAATAAGGAGCATCAAGGATTAATATATTTGTGCCGTCATCATTGGAACCTGCTTAACAAGGCAGCAACATGATGGAGGGTAAGTTAACAAAATATATTATACTATCATTTTCCCAGCAACATTCACTATTTTCCCAATGCCAGCAACATTTGCGACCAGACTTTTGTTGCTGGCAGTGTCATTGACATTGGCACTACATTACATTGTATATAGACGAGCCTCCCATTTAGGCCTATTGTAAACTTACACAATGATAAAGAAATCATTAAAAGAGGTAGAATTTTATAGGGTATGTAAGTTATATTGGAACTCATGCTTTTATAATTAGAATGTTGTAAATTAATATTAAAACGTGGAAACAAATTTAAGGTCAATGGATGGTTAACCATACTTACTTCAGAAAACATTCTACATTTAGTGAAATAGGTACAAAAATAAATTTAAAAAGGTTTTTACCAGTAAAAGCTTTTGTTGTTTGGGGAAAACTTTTATAAATTAAATTACGACTTATCAACAAAAATAAAACATTGTATGGACTGCGAAAGTAGGCAACCTTCACCAATGAGCACACCAAATAAGGTTAAACAAGAGGAAAAGCTATAGTCGAGTGCCGCGACCATAAGATACCCGTTACTGTTTTACAAAATTTTAAAATATTATTTTCCTAGTGGTAATTCACAAGGCGCCACCTATTGTCAGAGGAAGTATGTTGAGTATGCTTATAGTGACGTCACTGCCCATGTGAGGCCTTATAACCTTAATTTCTTCATAAATAGCGAAATAATGTTCCGATTTGAAAAATCTTTGGTAAATCGATAGATATTGACGAAATAAGTTATACAAGGTCAAACAAGGCATTCATACTAATATTATAGACGCCACAGTTTTCCGCGGTTTGTGGGCGTTAGAGTGGGCGTGGCCAAATGCATCTTCGTGGCAAGTTGCAGAGGCATCTCCTAAATATGTGTTTCTGAGCAAAATTGTTTAGCTCTTATAGTTTTCGGAGTTTTGCATTTTTGGTTTTTCGGGTTTTGTGGGCGTTAGAGTGGGCGTGGCTTGATCGGAAAAAATAATTCGCATTGGGAGCATCATGAAACCTACATGCTTAATCCGAACTTTCTATCACTTATAGTTACCGAGATATCAGCTTTTCTAGAAAATCCGTAAACCGTCTTTTGAGCCTTGTGGGCGTATGGGTGGGTGCGGCCGGATAGTAGTACTACTATAAGATGCGCTGTCATCTAAGGATTATACTTTCTGATTTTCAACTTTCTAACTGCAATAGTTCCTGAGATTTCAGCAATTTAGTTTTTTGCGATTTGTGGGCGTTAGAGTGGGCGTGGCAGGATGCTGTAATAAACTTGCGCTGTCCCGGGACCTCAGGAATCTTTATGCTTAATCTCAACTTTGTATCTGCTATAGTTCCTGAGATCTCAGCGTTCATACGGACGGACGGACGGACGGACGGACGGACGGACGGACGGACAGACGGACATGGCCCAATCGACTTCGCTATTGATCCTGATCAAGAATATATATACTTTATAGGGTCGCAAAAGCTTCCTTCTATCTGTTACATACTTTTCAACGAATCTAGTATACCCTTTTACTCTACGAGTAACGGGTATAAAAACATTTTGGAAATACCAGACAAATGTTAACTGAAATCCACCTACTCAAACTTAGTCATATTGTATATTAGCAGCTATCAATCTTGAAGTTCACATTGCAGATAAACTGAATTGATACCCAACTAAAAGATAAGATTGTGAAATCAAACTAGGAAAAGGCTTTATGCGCCAATAGCTGTTTATCTTGCCATTCCTTTGGGGTAGAAAAACGCTCGATCATCGTGAAAAGACCAAAAGAAACCATGCCTGTTGGCCATTTGTTTGGCCGACCATTGTTGATGGCCGTCTTCGATCTCCCAAGATCTCGTGCCAGTCGGTGCTCGGTGCCAGATTAGCATTTGAAAAGCAGCGTGTGCGTGCCAATTGGGGAAAAATTCCACGAATTTTGCACACCTATGCCCATACGTACGTATGTAGGGTGGCAATTAAGCTCTATAGCTTTTATTGGCCAAATTCGGACGTGGCCGAATAGTGAAAACCCCACGCCGTGTACTTGTCTGCATATCTGGCCCATTACAAATATCACATGATGACAGTTTTTGCTAACCGCTGAAGCTCGTTTTGCGCTCTGCTGGTTTCTGTTTTTCAGCGTGACTCATGCGTTTTTTAATAATCAGTAAAAGCTTAGTAAATATATATAGGTTTGTGGGCAGATGGAAGCTTTTCAATTCTGAGAAATCAAACAGCTTTTATCTGAGTACTAAATGAAAGAGAGGTGACTCACACTTTAACAAAAGAGCTTTTCAGTTTGTATGTGTGGGTATGAGTTCAGAAAAGAGCAGAGTGTATCAAGAAATTTCCCCTGTTTAAATCTCAACGCTTATTGCATTGTCGTGGGGTTCACAGTCTATTATTATAAACAGGCAATCAAGTATTGTAACTGAAAGAGTAAGGGTTGAACTGTTACTTACTTTTAATAAAACTACCCTTTTCCTAATGTATTGTTATTCCATTTAAGGAATACAATAAATACCTACAGACTTTCAATTTTTTGACTTTAGAGAAAGCTGATTGTTATTTTAAAAATCTTAAAGACCAAATAATAATAAACAAATCCAGTTATAGAGGCATACAACTTAAATTATATTTTACAAAACTCGAAGATAAAGCTATGAAATTCTTATTATATTACTTTCTTTTACAAGAAAAATACTTTTTCTTCTTTTAAAGACTTATTTTTATTCAACAATTAAGTTTTAAAACCTCAAGTACCTATTAAATGCCCACTACTTTGTGATAGGTCAGTTGACATACGGCTTCTGAGAAGAATTATTTTCAAACACCCAAACAAACGATGATTCATGCCAAAACTGCCCCCACACAATATTATACTAAAAAATAGCCTTGAATAATCTTATGTACATATATAGTTGTCTGGCCGTACTTATTTCTACTTTGCAATGTTTTGTTTAAAAGAATAAAACACCGGCCGGTTGGGACAAAGACCCTCAACTTGTAGCTTATATATGCCAAGGGAAATTTTCTTCAAAGCAAAGGCCATCTGGCATTGAGGGAAATTTAGCTCTCTCTTTCTAGCCTGAATACAGACAAAACTCACAGTATGTGTATATGAAATACGGACTGATATACAAAGCTCGCTCGCACATACCGATAAGTAAAATTATCTGACTATGGCAAACTGGTTTCTTGGGTGCTTTTTGAATTTCACAACGAATGAAATTCACTGTGGCAAGCTAAACCAACAGTTTCGATTCTGTTTGCCGCTTGTAGCTTGACATCGACGGTACGCTGAATTCAAAACGTAGTGAATACTCCAAGCGCTCGGTTGACTTAGTCAGAACAGAAAGTGACTAGTTCCACATATACGGACTATAGTGAAGCCATATAAAGTCCATCAAAGTTCCTGTTCTAAGGAAACATAGTGCTAAAGACTTAACAATCGTTGTTGTTCAACGCGGAACAACAACTGGTGGACATTTGTCGATATCCCAATCGTAAATCTTTTAAATCCGAGCAACGGCCGGACCTGAACCCATAACCAAGTGGTGGTGCCAGGAACCACCCAACCTATTGCGTAGCAGAAAAGACAAGTGAATTCCCGGTCGGGTTTCCAAAAAACCAGACCACCACTCTTGAGGACACATTCACCGAATTTATGTAAGTAGTTTGGACATCAATCTTATAGTATTCCATATGCCTAGACATATTAAACTATATAGTATAGAGAGCTTTTTGTTGTTAAACTTTAACGTCGCCATATTGAATCACTTAAGTGCACTGCTGACGTCATTTGCCCCTCGAATTAACGGACGCAGATACAGATACAATCGAAATTTACAATAGTAGGGGATTTTTGTTGCTGAAACATTTAATTATAGGGCGCTACGCGGCTGATGTTGTGTGACATTTATATTAGTGTGTAATTAGCCAAAGCTCGCGTGTGTGCTTTCGGGAAATTTTTCCACTGCCGTGGTAATTGCTTTCTGATGTTGTTGTTTTTCATACCGGCCGCACGATTTCAGATATCTGAGCGCGATAATAACGTAGTGACACGAACGTGTGCCTTAATTATCTAAGTGACAATTAGCGGGCGAACGGGATAGGGGGGTTGTCAACTGCTGATTAGAGACCCCCCATACCACCGATCCACCCATATGGTTTATATATATATATGGACAGACCTGTTGCCCATGCGTCCGCCATATTGTTGTTTTTTTCTTTGCGGCGGGCCTGTTGTGAAATTCAGAAAAAGCTTTTCGCAGAAGAAGACGCCTTAAAAAACTGGACATGTTAGCTATAAGAATCTTATCTGACATTTGAAAGGAGGTAGCATTATCGAATGAGGAACTATTTAGTGGAATGAAATAAAAAACAAAATAATCTTTAATTTTAACTGAAGAGTACTTAGGAAAACCATATCATTCTTATCAAAATGATCAACGTACTTTTGGGGCCTATAAGTAATGTGCGTTCTCCATTTATTTGCTTACAGCTTAAGGGGAACTTGTGCCGACGACTCTTTTAGAGCTTGTTTAAAGGGACCCTAACAATTTCATTGTTTCTTTCTAACGGTCAATTAAAAGTGAGTATACAAGATCCTTTTTCACGTCTATTATTAAGTCATGCCGCCTCATGATTGCCCGACTTTCTTAGTCCTTGCACCACTAGTTTGTAAGAATGTTTTATGAAAAAATAGAAAAAAGACAAAAAACAAAAGAAAAAATATGAAAAAAGGAGTAATTCCAAACGAAAAAAGGAGAAAATCCATTTAAAAAAGGAGTAATTCCATACAAAAAAGGAGAAATTCCATTCAAAAAAGGAGTAATTCCAAATAAAAAAGGATTAAATCCAACAAAAAATAATAATAAAAAAACTAACAAAAGAAAAAGATTTAAGAAATACACAGAAAGAAAATGGGAAAAACAAAAAAAAAACAAGCAAAAGAAAAAATGGAAAGCAAACTAACAGAAAGAAAGGCCAAGAAAAGAACACCAATCACATAACCAACATAACCCATCCATCTCGACACAAAGCATCCAACATCCAAGCTGATGAAAGTCGCCAAACATGATGGTCTAAATAATCGGTGGCCAGGCATATCCTTGATATCCCTGCGACATCGAGGCCCACAACCACTACTTGTACATTTGCTAACCCACTCAAGCCACAAGTTTAATTGAGGCGCAGATTCCCCAAAAAGGATCGCGCTTCTGCCCGTCGTCGATCTGTGTAATAACAAAATCTTTTTTCTTTTGTCTATTTTCTTTCACATAAAAATCAAAAACAAATATTACGAACACTCTTAACTGCGCTTGCTCCACTCATCGCCAAATCCTGTCCGAATCGAATACAAATTATACGAATGCGTATAAATTTTGAAATCCTGTCGTATCGAAACCGATTGAAAACGAACCGTACACCGAACTCCGTAACCTGCCGAACCGATCGAATTGAATTGATTTGAATTGAAATTGAAATTGAAATTGAAATTGAACATTGTCGGAAAACAGCCACGTTCAAAATGGCATTCTCATTCGAAGCCCAAACCAGCCAAACCAGGCCCAAGAGCGAATCAAACAACAGCATCCCAATCAACCAAGAGCAGAGCAACAGTCTCAACACCCCCAAGAGCAACCCAAACCATTGTACTGTCAACGAGACCAGCAACAACAAGCAGCACAACATCAACGAGGAAGGCTACCGAAAATCCCCGAGATATAATATTGATGATCCAGGAGCCAGCACGAGTACAGGCGGCACCCACATACGAGGCGACAACCCAGGAATACAACGCAACATCCCAGGATCCAGCAGCTGGCGCGACAAACTCGTGGCCCAATTGCTCCTGCTCTCAGAGGAAAACAAGGCCAACGGAGCCTATGAGGGATTCGCCTACTTCAACGATCACCACAATACCGATCGTGATAGACAGCAAGCCAAATCCCAGAATTTTGCTGATAAGAGTGCCAACGAGCAGCAGCAACAGCAATCGCAGCGGGACAGAGCACAGAGCGCCTCGAACTCGCATCATAAGAATACCCTTTTTACCAGGGTCGGTACCAACTCGTCCGCCAGCCAACCAGGCCTCGCCTGCCACGAGTCCTTTAGTAAATCCGATAGATTCGGCGAGGAGGTCCCGTATCTCAACGTACCCCACGACTGGGATACTAACATCCCGATCCCAACCAGAAACGGTGGCAGGTTTACCGACTACGGCAATGGTGAACCAAACGGTCCCGGTTTCGTCGTGCACGCCTCAGACACAGACCCTGGCAGCCATGGCTGGTATCCATCTGACAGGTGCGGACGAGCCGCAATCCAACCAGGATATGAGTGGAGCAATGCCTACTGCCACAGTTGAAGAGATAGACGTTCCGGTGTTCATTGATGGTGAGTACTGTGTTTTGTATGTGTGTTGCCTGTGTACCCAGCACTCTCTCATTACTGTTGCTTAAAAAAAGTATGTAAAAAAAGCAAAAGCAAAGCGATTCACAATCAGTTGGAGAAAGAGTCAGATAGCAGGCATTGAGCACTGACCAGGATCCCACGGATCAGGTTCAGTTGCTCTGCCAAGGACGTCGAGGTACAGTCACCACGTAGCGGACGAAGGCGAAGATCACAGTGCAATGACCCATTAAAGAAACGAGTGAGAGATTGAGGGGTGTTTTGGGGAGCCAAGGGTGCCCCCTCTCCACCCCTGCTCACGGTAAATGGCAACGTAATTACTCGTACGATCAATATCTTCAGGATATTTGGTCTATGTACTTCCATTTATCGGTCACTTCTTTCACCCACATGTTTCAGTTTTAATTCTTCCTAAGACCTTAGTGTCATAATTTTGTTCTCAATTGAAAAAATTCCCTAGGAAATATTTCCACATATTGGTATTCGCCAAGTTATAATTTATCAAACATGTAGTTATCTCTTGATATGTATACCCGTTACTCGTAGATTAAAAAGGTTTATATTAGATATTCGATTAGAAAAATATGTCACAAGTAAAAGGAAGCGTTTCCGACCCTATAAAGTATATATATTCTTCATCAGTATGAATAGCGAAGTCGATTAAGGCATTGTTTTCTGATTGTCCGTCCGTCCGTCTGTCCGCATGAACGCTGAGATCTCAGGAACTTTAAGAGATATATAGTTGGGCATGCAGATTATTGAAGTCCCTTCGCAGCGCAAGTTTATTATAGCATTCTGCCACGCCCACTCTAACGCTCACAAACCGCGGAAAACTGTGGCGTCCATAATATTATAGTGTATGTCTTCGTTTGACCTTGCATAACATATTTTTGTCAATATCTATCGATTTACAAAAGATTTTTAAATTTTTTTGTTTGACATTAAAACAAGTATTCTGAAATGCAAAATGTTAGACTTTGGCCAGACTAGTTTTACTTATTGTAAAAATTATTTCGATATGTTGTCATTTAGTTGCCAGGTTTTTGTTACTGAAGAGTAAAACGTTTTATAAAACGTGTCTTGGAATTTAACCAATTGTTATTGTCGCTGAAAACTAATAATAGCATAATTTCTCAAACTAAAATCCGCACTCACCGTAGGAGCAAATGGCGTGGCTTTCCGATTTAAAAATTTTCTCCTTATAATCTTTTTTTTAATATTCTTATTATTCACTTTTACGGTCTTAAATTCTCAATGCTTAGCAGCAATGATATTCATATATATATCTATCTCACTGTCTTAGTTGACGTTCTTTGTTATAATTTCTTATCGATAAAGTTGATGGTACGAGTTCGGGTGTTGACGTGAATCACTGTAATGGTGGCATCTTAAACTAAATGCGCAGTTTCAAATCCGTTTCGGTTGTCTACACGACACCGTTTGAGGAGTGCGAATAAAAGCGATAAGCCATTTACTTCATACTTTACATTGTGTATCTTGTATAATAATACCAACTTATACATGTATAATTAGCTAATATGTGTGTGATCCGTCGGATTCCATTGTCCAACCAGAATCAGAGTTAATATCGTACCACCAATTTTCTATATGCATACAATGGCAATGCATTCGCGACCGATGGCTCATTCGAATTGTTTTTCATTTTTTTAAATATTAATATTATATTATGTACCAGAAGGGATCACTATGAATAGTTAGTCAGCTGAGAAACACCCACTCGGTGTTTAAATTCTCAACCCTAATTTCTATATATGGACAACTCTTTCGTACAGGAATGTGTATTAATGTACATACAGTGGATCCAAGCTTATTTCGTGCAAGAAAAAATTGTGCGTCGGAGTTGCCCTATTTTTTAGTTTTTGTATGAAAAATTCTTTTGTTTTTTAAATTAGTAAAAACTTGTTATTATTTTAATAATATGCGACATTCTTAACATTACTGCGTTTACATTTTTTTGATATCTCTGCTGGTTTAGTAGCAGTATCAAATTAAAAATTAGATTTTTTCTTGCACGAAATAAGCTTGGATCCACTATATGTATGTGCAAAATAATTGCCTATTCGTATCACTAAGTGTTTAGATCAGTAAATAGGGATTTTTTTTATTTATAAAAAAGGACTTGTATATTAGCTTTTGGGGTAGAAATCGAGAGAGTGCAACAGCTGATTCATGACCTAAATTCTCGCCGCACGTGTTTCTAGCCGGCGAAGTGCTTTATTTTTTCTGTTCACTCATAGACACATAGTATTTCTATATACGAAATGGCATACAATTTTTAAAAGATTTAAATGTTGTCACATTCGGTAAATATAATTACAATAATTGATTGAAAAAATCATTTTAATTTGTTGTGAAATTCAATAAGAATGATCTGCGAAATTTGAGAGAGGGCTAGTTTGGAGCGATCATGTACACGGATACCTGTTTGTGTGTGAGTCTATACGTATGCTCTTCTTGACTCTCTTTCTCTCTCTCTATATTGCTCCAATTTCCCCTCTTCTTATATATCTCTCTCGTTCTATCTCTCTTTCGAGAGCCGGTTGACCCTCTCTCAACAAAGGAGATAGCTGTACATACGTGTGACCGGCTGCGAAATGTATATCACAGATACACTTGAACTTGGTTTTTTCTTGCTCTCTCGCTTTGTACATTTTGTGAGTTTGTTTTCGGAAAATTGCATTGCGTATACGCAATGTTTTATAAAAATGTAGTACTTTATACATTTATTATATTTTAACATTAAAATGATATATTATTTGAATTGATTTTTGTGGATTTTCCAGGTAGTTTTTCATAAAAACCAAAAATTATTTTTCTTTGGTAAGCATGTCAAGATATACCAATTGCTTTAAATACCCCTTATTAGACGCATGCCTTTCCATAAATGGTAATAATATATAAACAAATTTTCGCGAACCTTCTTCGCTCTGATGAAATTCGAGTGTCAATTGTATTGGTGCAATCCCGAACTGTTAACTTATGTAGTTTCGGCCTATGTCAGTAGGAAATCTATGGAATTGGTAGAACGCATGGGAGTTCGTGCAAAATGCCGACGACGACAGAGGAATCAGCCTATTGCTATATATTGGTGTAGGTAAAAGCGAGACGACCTTATACTTGTTGCGCGGGCAGCTGTTGATAAATTCGTATTGGTGAAGGCATGCGCAGTTTCCTCTCTGGGTCTCTCTCACTTTCTGTGTCTCTCAACCGCTGCCGCACACACTAATGCAGGGCCGATATTTAGGGTTCTTGAGCTCCAGTTGTGACTTGCTTCTCGCATTCGTAAACCAGCCGTTGCATTGTCAAGTTACCTTTCTTCATCTGCGGATAAATCTGAGTACAAACAATCAATCCGCGCATTTTTTAAACCCCACCAAAGGTGAATATTTTCCGATACTTCTACTAATAATCTATTTCAAATATTTATAGTTAAATATAATAAGCAAAAGATACAATTGTAGGCAATCGCCCCATAACTAACCATTGTTTTTGTTTTCTTTTTCGCATTTCTCATTTTTAGATTATCATACATGTTTTTTACATCCTTATATTTTGTGTGAAATTATGTTTTTGCTTTTGAATTTGTCCAAAACTACCCCTTAACGTGGCCCAAAAACACACACATGCGCACGCACACAAGTGTTGGGGATGCGTGCAGGAACGATCGTGTTCGATTTTCGTGTTGTTGTTGTCAGTCGGTGGCTCGGCAAATGCGTCATGGTGTGGGGAAGCCGGCAGAGGTGGGAATCTGTGAATGTGTGCAAGGAATTGTTTATTGAATAAACGCGACAATTAACACAAATAGTATCTATTGGAACAAATCTAAAAAAATATAAATATACTCTTATACATTTTATTTAAAAATTTATATTTTAAAAATATTTGTGGAAAATCTCAGAAATGTATATTTTTATAAATGTATATTTTTATAAATGTATATTTTTTCTAGTTGCTTACATATTGACGTTTGCACTTTGTTAACATATTTTTTTTGTTTATTATATTTCTGCATTTTTTACTTTCCTTCTTTATTTTTCGTTTTACCTTCTATTCTCTTTTGTTTCAATTCCAATTCGTTTCATTTCGCTTTCCTTGGCTAATTTCACAATAAGCATCGGGTGAGCAAGATAGCCGTTGACTCACTTTTGTGTAGTTCGACGTGTCGAATGTAAGATTTGAGTAAGAATACAGTGGCTCCGCCATTTCGTAGTACTGCGGAAGAAGTTGGGAACTGTTAGTGGTGACATTTTGTAGATTCAATATGACGTAGATAGTTATGTACATGACTTATGTATAAAATTGGGTAATATATGTATTTTAATATTTTTAAAATAATTTTGAATTTTTTACAAATATATTTTAACATTAAAGGCCTTAACTGATATCTTACCCCTTTCTCCAATCAAACACAATTGGGTACCTAGATTTTAATCGAGTTCTATGCACTCTCATTAAAAACGATCTTACCAAATAAAAATTCCGCAATACTAATAATATTTTTTAATTTTTCACAGAATACCTGCAAGATATAGAAGCCACGTCATCGACGTGCAGCAGCGAAAACGGAAAGGAGATTTTTACTGAGACGGATATTCTTGACTTTGATATAAACATGTTTGCCGAGGATCACATTGAGCTTGAGGGCAAGAAGATGGATCCCTTCAGTCCGGCGATGGACGAGATGAACAACGACAACTTAGACAACGATTTCTTACTAATGGGTAACCTGGCGCTGGCCAACGAGGAGGAGACTTTTGACATTGCCCCGATGTGCGGCATTGACATCAACCAGGAGCTGGAACTGGATCTCAACAGCATTCTAACATGTTCGCAGCCGACGGCCATGCTCGTTAGCTCGCAAGATCCCTACTTGTCCACCTATTCCCAAGAAACATCTACCACAAGCAACACCAAATTCATCACCGAGGAGCCTTTGATCGCCGACTTGGCCAGTTTCGATTCTAGCAGTCTTTTTGGCTACAGCCAGGAGTCGCTCGGCTTCGGCCATGTGGAGGACGTCAAGCCCAGCGGCAGCTTTGCCAGCAGTGGCGGCGATGTCGCCGTGGCCATCCAAGCACCCATCGAAATACCAACCATCTCTACACTTAAGCGATCTGCTCCGGCACCAGTGGTCGAGTTAAAGCCTCTTAAGCGCTGCCGTCTCTCACTCGATATTACCAAACAGGTTGCTCCAGAGTTGAGCCTGAAAACACCCGATGTACTCGATAATGCCCTGGATATGTGTGAAGTAAGTATATCTAAATAAAAAATGTACTTAAGATCCTAAGGATTTCTTAGTGTCATAATTTCATATTTGACCTCCAGCCAAAACAAATTCTAATTTATATTTTCTTTTTGGTTTACAGCTCAACAACATCATCATATCTAGCCGAGCAAAGATCGTAGAGGATCTACGCAGTGCCGAAGAGGAGACCACCACCGACTTCTCAGCGCCGAACACTCCGCAGAGCAACTATTCAGCCAGCTCTAGCTGTGCAGCTCCCACCTGCCAGACCGGATTTGGTGGCATCCTCACAGCTCCCGCCTCACCTGCCTTTTCCGTAACCAGTACCTCTCTGTTCAGCCCTTCGCCAGCCGGTGGAAACACCGGCAAGAGGAAGCGCGGCCGTCCTGCCAAAGATCATGCCGATGGCCCAGATCCCGAACTCATGTCCCGCATGAGCGGTGAGGAGAGAAAGGCTTATGAGGACAGGATCAAGAACAACGAGGCCAGCCGAGTTTCGCGCCGGAAGACGAAGAAGCGCGAGGAGGAAGAGAAGAACGCCGAGGATGAAGCTGGTGGTAGAGAATCTGCGACTGCGCGCTTTAGCGGACGAAGTGACTTCCCAGGAAAATAAGTTTAAGAAGTACCTGATGGATCGCCAGCGGAAGAACAGCACTTACGTCAAGCAGGAGCAGCATTGAGATTCTCGTAGCCATATAATTAGATAGACCAACTGTCGTGACCTTAAGATTGTCGCATATTGCGGAGCATTAGCCATAGTCCCATTAATCCTCGTCGTCATCCATTTGTTAAGATACTTAAGTTGTCGTTAAAGAAGTCGTGAAGAAATCAAATTTCCATCTGGACATCAATTTCGCACGAAGTTGATGTAAAAACATTAGGCCTAAAGAAGGCGCCCATTGAGCGCGAGACGTGTTTAACTATAATTCTACTTTTATTATGTTTGAGAAATCAAAAAGTTTATGTACCCACATATGTTTTTTTTCGTCCTAAGCGTAATCGAAAAAACCATGAAAAAATCAAAAAAAAAAACATTTTGTAATGTAACGATTACGATTTCGTATGTTTTAACCCCATTGATGAACAAAAAAAGTTATAAAAATGTCAACAAAAAAATATGCTATTGTTAAGAACAATTGAAACGTATATTTTACAGATATCAACCTATATAACCGTAATTGTTTGAATAAAGAGCATGTTTCAATAAACATGACAAAATCAACTTGAAGAGTATTTTTTTCCTGGCTCTCTGGATGTCAAGTTTATATAGTTTTCCACAAAAAGTTCCAAGCTTCTAGAACTTTTACTTTGAATTTAATATACAAATATATTTACAATTAGTTTGAGGTTACAAGTTACAGACAAGATTCGATTTTTTTTTTTTTTTATTAAACTTTAAACCATATTGTTGTACACATACTCTATTATCGTAAACTAAGGATTGCACCGAATGAAAATTTTGATCAACTGCCAAATGGAATTAACTAAATAGGCAAAGTAACAGATTTGGGATAGACTCAATTGGAATTGGGATATGACCCCAGAGATAACAACAACGTGGGCAACGACAACTTCGCGATTCGAGATTCAGCCAATTGTGCGGGTGTGATTCACGGCAATTACTTTACCACTCGGATTTGAATTGGGTGGCAGTGCAATTTGCTAGATGCTTGTTGCGTGTGGTGACAGTAAATTGCGATAGCTGCTTGCTGTTGGGTAAACATTTGAAGTGACTTCGCGCGCGTCGTTCTCGGGGTAGCCGGGTTTCAAGGCAAGGTGGTTTCATTATTTACGCTTGCTGCTCCTTGGACCCGTAATTGTAGTGGAGGAAACGTAGTCCCTGGATCGTTTGGGCTGTAGCATTGGTAGCATGGCAGGCAAAGAGCAGCCAGTTCCTGGGCTGGACCTTGTAGGCAAATCGCATGAAGATGCACGAGTAGAGGGTCAGTGCTGGAAAATATTCAGGATTAGCTAATTATGGAGATTTACTTAAAGAGGGGTACACAGAGAAAGAATTAAGCTCAAATTTTTAGACCTTACAATCAAAAATATGTATGTATGAGAAATAGGCAATCACTAATAACACAATCACTAAACGATTTTAATTAATAACTAATCAAGATCACCTACTGATGGCCCTGCTTATATCATATTACACAATTATTTTATCTGTCTAGGCTTGACTTTAGATTCTGTTGAAGGATTGAAAAGGTAATCAAACTGAGTTAATTTTTTCTCTGTGCAATCTTATCGGCAGCCGTTTCGACAGTTTCCGTATCTGGCTTATCAGGTCATATAAAGTGATTTGTTTAGAACATATCACAGCGGCTCTGATTACGACATCTTTAGCAAAAACTTTCGATGCCAGTCGCGCATGTTTGGTTGCCAGATTATGGCCAAAATCCAGGTGATTCCCCTTACCCAATGTCATTTTGCCCGAGATGAACTTGGGACTCTTTTGTGTGTCGGCAAGAGCTGCAACAGGAATACCCCAGTTGGCCACCGGACCCCAGAAGTGGGTACTGTTGTTATCAAAAGAGAAAACACATTAGAAATATATGGCAAAATTCCAAATAATAGAGACGAACCTCATAAAGTAATCCCGCCACTCCTTGGAGGCCGTTGTGGACATAGCTCGCCTGATCGACATGATGCTACCGACTGCTTATTGAATATATCTAACCAGGAATATTAATCAAACGCGCACCTGGTGGAATAATTTAGATTAGATTGTCTCTGCCGCGCAATATAAATCCGAAAAAATCCCCTCAAGGTCTTACAGGTTGTTCGTTGTTGTTGTTGCTGTCTCAGCTGTTGTTGTTCTTGTTTGTTTACTCCGTCTGGAAATTTTTGACCTTAAGCACAAATAATTTCGAACTGCAAGTAAATTTTGAAGAGTGAACACTAAAGTTCAAAATTGAGATTTCTATTTTGTTTATGTGTCGGCCGTGTCACTCCGAAAGTTATATAAAAATTTAGTGAAACGAAAGGCAACAACGAGTTTTCTCTGCTGCGTCGCTGCCGCGTCGTTATTATCGATAAATTGGGTAATCGCTATCGTGCAAGGGTCACACTTAGAGGTGGACAAAATAGTTGTCCGATATATTTTGATGCTCTGTGCATTATTTAAACTATAATTATATATCTTCTATTAGTAATTGTATTTATGTTTATATAACTTGAATGTGTGTATTTAGTTTTGTATGTATAATTTATTTTGTGAAAAGCTTTCTGAAGAACATATATTTTAATATGAATACATTGAATTGTTTAAATCAAATAAAAAAAAAATTATTTTATCTAATATTTGGTAATGCTATGGGAAATATTTAGGAAACTGTAAATATATTTACGTGATATTTTTAAAAGTTATCAACAATTGAGTGTAATAGCAGTGAGTTTTGTAGCACCGAGCTGATCGTTGTCATAATGAAACTCAACGCTATGGCACTCGATCTTGAAAAGAAGTTTCTTCTCTATTTCCGCCCAAAAGCGGATACTTAATGCACATTTAATTCTAGCTAATTACTCGTAATTGTATTGTGCATTTATAACGCATTTGCTGAAGTGCGGGCGCCACAGTTTTCAAGTGTTTAATCCACCACACGCTTCCGCTCTCCAGTTAATACCCAGCTCTTCCTGCTCTCTTAAATGAACAAAGAGAATTGGGGCGATGGTTTCTGCGCCGACAGCCTGCGCCTGAGTCCTTGGCCGCAGCAGCAGAGGACCAAAGCAGCAGAGTCAGCATCCGAGGACCAAAACCGAAACCGAAACTCCAGCTCAGTGTGAATTTGCGACTCGAGAGCGACGGCGGCTCAAAGGAAACTTGGCTCGGTAAATGGTCTCAAAAAGGATCCTGGCAACAACAACCACATCCTCTGACAATACAACAACAACGATAAAGTGGAAAAGCGGAATAGGCAAATGGAAATTGGTGGCAGTCGCTGCCTCTGCCGACGACGCTGCTACGGCTCTGCCAACTTGTAATCCCTGTGTGTGTGTGTATATATGCTGCATGTGTGCGTGCGTGCGAGTGTTTATGTGTGGTCAGTGTGCCATTTTGCAAGCATTTTCCATGTGCCATTCTCAAGAAAAGCAAAAGCAAATTCGATTGTGACCAAGAAACCAATTCCAAGAATGTCCAAAAACAAAGCAAGAATTTTGGTTAAATAAAAGAAATGTAATATCCTTTTTAACTAAAAATGTTGACATCGCGTCATCAGTGACCGCAGCCTCTGTAAAACTTGAAAAACCCCCAGAAAAAATCAATCCCCTGCATAATATGGCAGTTCCTTTTTCTTTATTTTTTTATTTTCCCACTCGAATTTGTTGCTAGTTAGCATCAACGTTTCGTACATTTTACCAGCAAGTCTGCCAAAAACGGTTTTCCACGCAAGAAAAAAGGAAAATTTTAAGAGAAAACCAAATGAGCCGCTCCCAAAAAATCCGAATTTATCAACAACAACAAGAGCAAAGGCAGGAAGAAGCAGCTGAAGGAGAAACGAAAGAAAGAGCAACCACAACAACAGACAAAGATACGCGGAAAAAAATAATTGAAAATCAAAGAAAAGTAGTTACAAAAGGACTACAGTTTTAATTTTTTTAGGAATTAAAAAAACACGTTTTTAACAGATAAATAAATATTAATTAGTAATGCAAGGATAGCGCTAAGAAAAATCAAATAAAAAAAACTTGCAGAATAAACTTTTAGGAAATTCAAAGGAATTCATATTTACATGCAAAAAAAGAAGAAAAAAGAAAAGGAAAGGAGATAATTTTTAAGATTTTACATTTCTTAAATATTAGAAATTGATAAAAAGGGTATTTATAGAGTTGCAAAGATTAAAACAAATTAAAACAAACAAATTAAACTGTTGAAAGAACAATTTTAAAGTAGAAGTAAATAATATTAAGCTTCAGAAAGTATTACCGAAACGGGTAAAAAAGTTTAAAGAATAATATAGAGCATTCTTATAAGACGACCTACTTAGCATCCCTTGAAGGTCTTTTAGTTAGCTGGACACTGGTATTTTTCCTGGGCGAAATACTCATACATAATTACTTGCTCCTGGTGGCGCATTTGAGAAATGAAATGTCCGCACAATGTCTCAATTGAATAAGTGCCAAATAGAGGCAAATAGAGCTCTCCTCGGGCCCACTTAGGCGCACTTATCCAGTGCGACTAGTTAAAGTGTCCGAATCTAAATCTGTTCACTTGTTTGCTGTTGATTCAATCAAGCGCAATCCAGCACAATCACCCGCACCCTCACAATGCAGAGAGCTCAATGCAAATTGAGTTTATTGTTCGGTCAATTGAGGAGAATTTGCTTAAGGTGCCTTTTCAGCACTCGTAAGACATTTTATGGCCCGTAAGCAGATGAGGTGATTTGCGTTTAGTTGCCCGATTGCCAGCCGACAGCGAGGAGTTCAAGATCCGTGGAATACAAATAATAATATAATAATAATAATCACCCCCGGCTAAAGTGGAACCCAAAATCCTTTCATTTCCCTAGGAAAGTGTCTCGTCGAGTGTGAAAATGCCAAGATAAGAAGTAAAGAAACCAAGTGCAAACTAAAAAGTATACAACATAATAATATTAAATATTAAATACAACAAAAATACAAAGCAAACGAAAGTGTTCAACAACAAACATTCCTCGCCCCGGTCCCTGGATCAGGATATATATATACATTTAGCATATAGCATAAGCATCGCAAATCTCTAAGTAAGAGGACATAGGGATAAGGAGCCACAGACTGCAGCCTGAACACAGATGCAGCCCTAAGTAAGTACGACTGCAATTAGAATTAGCATTAGCCACTAAGTCGACAGTTCGGTTCAGTTTTTGGCTTTTCCGACCAAAAGGGCGTGTGTTTTGTATTCTCGTCTCTCAGCATCTCTTTTTGTATCAATGTGTGCGTTTCGCTTTCTCTCCAATTTTTCTCCTTACTGGTCTTGTTGTTGTCGTTGCTGTTGGCGTTTTTCATTGATGTTGATGGCCTGGTACATCATCAACTTGCTGCTCGGCTGCGCCTCTTTACTTTGTGTGTAATAAAATTGATGATAAAATAAAAATGGATAATGGGCGATTTTCGGTCTTCGTATCCGTCGCCTCGGAGAGTTTTCAGCTGAGAGCAAAACAGCCAGAGCCGACAGCCAACAGCCAAAGCCATCAGCCAGGAGTCAAGAGTTCGTTGTTTACCGTCTCTCAATTTTGTGGTAACACACAGACATACGCAAGACATCCATTTCTCTTTTGTTTCTTTCTGTGCTTTTACCACCCTGCCACACACACGCAATTTTTCTCTTTGGCTCTCTCTCTCTCTCTCTCTTTGTGGTAGTGTGTCCTTTGTGGGTTAATGTATGTGTGGGTGGAGGGGGTGCATCCTGTGGCTGATAAGAATGCTGCACAGTTGTTAATGGCTCTCAAGACTTGCCACCATCAAATTGCAATATTTTAATAGCGATAATAAACTCCGATAAAAACTGAAGTATAGGATCACTGTTATAAATTAAACTTTTCTAAAAAAATTAAAAAATTAAAAGAAAAGAATAATAAAAATTTTGTCGATCTAATAGAGTTCAAGCTACCTTATTTTGATCAGAAATCCAAAAGAATTAATAACTAATAATAATGGCTTAGTATTTAAGTTGTAATATTTAATCTAATCTCCCTGTTACTGGCAGTTACATTTGATTTACTAAAGAAACAAAAGTTCCTTACTGTTTTTAGATAAAGAAATGCGTAAAATGTAGTAGCTATTTGGTAACGAAGATGGCTAAAGATAAATACGTGGAATTAGACTAAATATAGGGGGTTAAAGGTGCCCGTCCCAAAGGAGGCTGAATAGCAACGTAGAGCAATAGGACATTAAGGGAGCACACGTTCCGTCTTGGCCGGAGCCTGGCATAATTTGGCTGTCGTATCGTATTTAGCCGGGTTAATTACCGAACATTGTGTTGATGGCTTAAGCGTTTCATGGGGCGCCATAATGGGGCCGGCGTGTCCTGAAGGCGCTTTTTAAAACGCTGACAATTGTTGTTTTCCTGTTGTTTTTGTTTTTTTTTTGGTATTGCTTGGTTTCTTGGCCGCATTGAGACTTCCGGCTTGATGCCGTCGAAATGACTGCGATAAGGTTAAATATTTAATAGGTTTTCCGGCTGGGCGTCTTTAACTCTACCTCCTACTTATTCCTCGCGCAGGCTCTCAGATAATTTCTCTAGCGACAAATGTCTGTCTGTCATTCAGCTCTGTTCCTTTCTCCCTTTCTCATCGCTTGTCCCTGTCACTTTGGAAAACTTTTGCAGCTGCCTTGGCTTTTGTTTTTGTGTTTTCCTATTTTTTTTCCTGTTGGCTTAGCTCCTTTTTGCTTTTGCTCCCTCTTGACTATTGGTGATGGCAGCATTTTAGAAATAAATTAAAATTTCATTTAAGTGCCTTTCAGCTGAAAACTTTCTTAATTACAAATGTTTTGTTGTCTGTTTCTGTGTCATCCCCAACACTCCCCCCATGTCCCCCCGCAATGTCTGTCAATCGATGGGCGTTAAGTGTTCTTTTGCATGGACAGCTCAAGGTTAATTTTCTGGTCCTTGCCCCATTACGTGATTTCGATGGGCTAAAATGTGTCAAGGTGCTGGTGGTTAAGCGCCCAGAGATATGCAGCAGCATTTTGACCAAAGCCGCACTTCAGATAAATTGCCTGCAAATGGCCGCAGCCAACACAAATACTACATATGAAAATGAAAAAATATATAGACAAAAGACAGCAGCAGCAACGGTGACATCTCTTAGTCATGAGCAGGTGCCCCGGAACTCTGGCAGTTGCATGCAAAAATAATCAAGCACAAATGGCACAGCAGCTACATGAAGTCCCCGCAACAGCAACAAGCCATGCACTCAGCCCACACAAAAACACAAAAACATACAAATAGACTAACGGACAAACAGACAAACGGACAAACACACCGGGGAAATGTGGAATGAAAGAAAGAACTTTTGGAGCGCTCTTCGCATGCACTTAGATGAAA